CTATGTTGTGAAATATAATGAGGAAACAAATCTTGTCGGAAATTTACTAAATCGAGATAATAGACAAAATTGACTTTTATATGGTGGAGAAATAAAACGAGTGATAAAACTCCTTCATGACATGTTATCTGAGCACATCAACACAACTACAGGAACATAAAATAGTTGATGCCATCTGTCTTGAAAATAAACGACAAGGAAGTTAACGTTAATCATTGTTGTTCTTTCTCCAACAGTTGTTCACTATTCTGAAGCTATGTTTCTGTAATTTCATGGATTATCTGTGCCGTCTGAAACGTTGTTTCTACACATTGAATCTTTTTGAAAGTTCGACTTCACATGTAGATGAATTCCAGGCATCAACTGAACGTTTATCAACACGTATTTATCTCATTATATTGTTAATCTCACTTACGATTTGTACCATTTATTTATCATTGGATATCAAAACAAAAACATTCAACATTGATAGACCATCTCAAAAGACATATGAAAAACTTCAAGAAAAATATTCTTCAACCATTCGATGTCCATGTTCAACGAATACAATTCCATATAGAGAATTTTTCTCAATTTCGCCTGTTTATCATGAAGTTTGTTCAAGTGTTTTTATCTCCGATGAATGGTTAACGTCTTTACATAATATTAATCGAACACGTTATTACCAATTAGATTTTCGAGCGATTGGTTTTTCAATATTTCAACTTCTACGTGTATTTTGTGAATGGAATAAACGAAACACGGAAATTACATTGAATCAATTCGCATCAAACGTTTTTCTTTCTCGTGTCGTTCTATCACCAGAAGATTTCTCTCATGAAACCGAATCAATATTTATAGATTTTGAAAGATTAGTTTTTGGACAACAAGTGCAACTTCCTCACATCGTTCTTGAAAATATAAAAGCGAATAACTTCGTACCGGCTGTGCAAACAACAGGGGTATTCAAAGTGAAGAATAATGGACACATTTACCTTTCAAATGGCATTTGGCCAAAATTCTGTTGGTGTCCTCAACGTACAGATTGTGTAGAAAATTTAAGGCTCTATGATAATCTATTCGCTTTTCAATTCAATGGAATTTTCGATAATATTTTATCTTCATATGCAGATATTCCAGGTCTGCACATTGGTTGTTATATATTAAGTTCTTTTCTGTATTCGAATCTCGAATGTCTCTATAATCAGACATGTATTGATCTCTTAAAGCAGAAGAATGACTCGTATTACGAGCCACTGAGAATAAATTCAAACACATCTGTGATTCCTTTAGCTTTTAATTTCATAATCGAAAACGATTATTTCATTCGAGATCGGCACAAGAAAATACAATATTCGAATTATTACAATATATGTTCACCAAGCAATTGTCAATATTCTGTTGATCGACGTATGGATTTTCTTGATATATTAACAAATATTTTTAGTATATACGGAGGATTAGTCATGATATATCAAATTATAATTCCAATGATTGTCACAAAAGTTCGAATTTGGTGGATACAACGAAATGCACAATCTGCAGCTGTAGATGAACAAGAAGAAGGTACAGAATATCTATTTTTTT